ATAGGATGCAAATGACTTGCCTTACGTGTTGTGCTGGAGAGCAGAGAGATTGCTTAGCTCCACCCTCAAGAAATAAACAGCATTAGATGAAGGTCCATTAGGGTTTCCAGTTACTGTTTTAGAAGGGAGTTAGGAGCTGGGGACCAGGGGTCACAATAACATAGTTTCTTCTCTGACATAATTGTTATTATTTTTCTGTTTCCCAGTAGTGGTTGGCAGCAAAAGCACTAAAAAGAAAGGAACTTACATGCTTTGCTGAGAGCTAGCAAAATGTGAATTGCTAGATCAACTGTGCCCTTTTTCAACCAAGATTGAAGGGAAAGGACCCCAGCTGGTATAGTGGGAAGTTGAGGGCTGAGAAGAGAGAAATGGTTTGAGTCCATGAGGGTATGCCCTAAAGAAGAGAGTTAGGAGCTGTCTTGGACCTAAGCAGTTTAAAAAAAAAAAAGAAAGACTGGTGAAATATTTGTAATCAGGAGATGAAAATACTGACAGTATAGCTAAGACAAGTGCAAACATTTATATGGGGATGTTTAGGAGAGGGGGTCCCAACTCAGCCTAGAGAGAGATCAGGGAATGTTTTCAAGAGACAGCGGCCCTTAGTCTGGGTCCTAAAGGACAAGTTAAGTAGGGGAAGAGGAGCTCCTTGAGAGCCCAGGTGATGAGCGCAATGGAGGGGTGAAGCTGGGGACTGCAGGTGGGCTGGTAGCACTGGGCGGAGAGGAGGGAAGAACTGTGTCAGGTATTCTGTAGTATCGGATACACCCAGCGTGCTCGTCAATGTTGTGGGACCTGGATGCTCGGACAGGCCCCTCTTCAAAAGGAAACCCTACGGACTCAAATTTCATAACGGGGAAGGAGTCATTGTAAACACCATTAGGTCTCCCAGGCGTCCAGGGAAGCCAAAGAGATGGCAGCATCATGCAAAGCCCCATTCTCCTCTCCGCTCTGCTCATCCGCTCCATCCCCTTTGCCCCTCCAGCCCTTCTCTGCCTTTGCTTATTTTCTTTATCCCCTCATGGCTTTTCTTACATGCGACTCACATGACTGACTGCCCCAGCTCCTGAATCTGTAAGATCTTTCACACCCTGGTTGAAAAGCCGAGGGAGGCACTGAGGCATAGGTTATTGGCCAGGCTGGGCTACCAGTGCCCTTCATCGTCCTGCCTTGACCAAGGGGGAGCTGGGGCTGGGTGTGGCACAGTGCACGACCTCCGGACTCTATCCTACAGCCAGGGCTGTGAAAAGGGCAGAGCGGGCACCCAGCACATAGGCAGTTTGTCCACTCCAAGGTTGAAATAAGATACGTACTTTTTTAGACATGTTGCTAGTGCCTCCTTAATAGACTACAGGGTAGTGTCAACCTAACTTTTAAATGCAACTGAGAAACCAAACAATCTGTGTAACTCCATTTCTTGTGATACTTGCTTTATTGCTGTGATGTGGAATCAAACCGACAGTAGCTCTGAGACATTCCCGTGTCTTGAGTTACAGTTTGACCATTTCTAGTTCTTTTCCTGAGAATTGCCAAATTCCGTGTGACTGGGTAGGGCCAGAAAAGTGATTTCAGAAAAGATCCGTAAGTTGACAGTCCAGCTTTAGACTAAACATTTGTGAATTCACCTTCCATTTATTTTTTTGTCTAGATCCAATGAATTTTAGGTTCACTGAAAGCCTTAGTATTTTGTTTTGGAGGGTGACAAAATATTCTCAGAGACAGATTTTCTTTGCCAGTAGTTTATTTAACACAGGTTCATTGTGGGAGTTACAGTAATTTTGTAAGTCAACAGCATGCTGATGTCTGTTTTTAGCTAGTAAATAAATAACATACTCCAAACCAGTGATAAATTACTCACAGTATTTTTCTAGGCACAGGGATATGAAAGGAATAAAGTCTAAATTTAGTTCCAGGTGTACCTTTACATGAGTTGGGTGAAAGAGGAGAGTGAAAAAGTTGGCTTAAAGCTCAACATTCAGAAAACTAAGATCATGGCTTCTGGTCCCATCACTTCATGGGAAATAGATGGGGAAACAGTGTCAGACTTTATTTTTGGGGGCTCCAAAATCACTGCAGATGGTGATTGCAGCCATGAAATTAAAAGGCGCTTACTCCTTGGAAGGAAAGTTATGACCAACCTAGATAGCATATTAAAAAGCATAGAAATTACTTTGCCAACAAAGGTCTGTCTAGTCCAGGCTATGGTTTTTCCAGGGGTCATGTATGGATGTGAGAGCTGGACTGTGAAGAAAACTGAGTGCCTAAAAATTGATGCTTTTGAACTGTGGTGTTGGAGAAGACTCTTGAGAGTCTCTTGGACTGCAAGGAGATCTAACCAGTCCATCCTAAAGGAGATCAGTCCTGGGTGTTCATTGGAAGGACTGATGCTGAAGCTGAAACTCCAATACTTTGGCCACCTCATGCGAAGAGTTGGCTCATTGGAAAAGACCCTGATGCTGGGAGGGATTGGGGGCAGGAGGGGAAGGGGACGACAGAGGATGAGATGGCTGGATGGCATCACCGACCCAATGGACATGAGTTTGAGTAAACTCCGAGAGTTGGTGATGGACAGGGAGGCCTGGCGTGCTGCGATTCATGGGGTCACAAAGAGACAGGACTGAGCGACTGAGCTGAACTGAACTGAGAGGGCTTTTCCAATCAAGAAGTGAAGCCCAGCTGCCTGCTCAAAAATAAAAGTCCTTGTTGCTAGGGAACTCCAGCACTGGTGGTGACGGGCAGGCTGGTCCTCACAGGGCTGCTAAACGCTTTGTCACCACTGCTGAAGAAGGCAGCTTTACCACAGCAGAGCTAATGTCCCTTCCCTTCAGAGACTGCTGCAGGGTTAACACCACTGCCCAGCAGAGTCGCCTTGGCCACTGCAGGAGCAAGAGGCTCAAGATCTTCAGAGAGCAAGATCAGCAAAGGACAGCTTTGTTCAGATGGAAACTCGGATATTCCTCACACAACACTCAGTATTTATAGTCTGAATGTCCACTCACCATGCTTCCTTTATCTGTTTTTACTGATAAGCCCCCAGTAGGGGCCACTCGGCTAACTGAACTGCTAGCGCTTATGAATGACTACACATACTATCCTGATACACTTCATTCATTCAAGCTGGGTTTAGAGAAGGCAGAGGAACCAGAGATCAAATTGCCAACATGTGTTGGATCATCGAAAAAGCAAGAGTTCCAGAAAAACATCTGCTTTATTGACTACACCAAAGCCTCTGACTGTGTGATCACAACAAACCATGGAAAATTCTTTAAGAGACGGCAATACCAGGCCACCTTAACTGCCTCCTGAGAAATCTGTATGCAGGTCAAGAAGCAACAGTTAGAACTGGACATGGAACAACAGACTAGTTCCAAATCAGGAAAGGAGCATATCAAGGCTGTATATTGTCACCCTGCTTATTTAACTTCTGTGCAGAGTACATCATGTGAAATGCCAGGCTGGATGAAGTACAGGCTGGAATCAAGATTGCAGGGAGAATTATCAATAACCTCATATATGCAGATGACACCACCCTTATGGAAGAAAGCAAAGAACTAAAGAGCCTCTTGATGAAAGTAAAAGAGGAGAGTAAAAAAGCTGGCTTAAAACTCAGCATTCAAAAAATGAAGATCATGGCATTCGGTCTTATCACTTCATGGCAAAGAGATGGGGAAACAATGGAAACAGTGACAGACTTTATTTTCTTGGGCTCCAAAATCACTGCAGATGGTGACTGTAGTCATTAAATTAAAAGGTGTTTGCTGCTTGGAAGAAAAGCTACGACCAACCTAGACAGCATATTAAAAAAACAGAGACATTACTTTGCCAACAACAGTCTGTCTAGTTAAAGCTTGGTTTTTCTAGTAGTCATGTATGGATGCGAGAGTTGGACCATAAAGAAAGCTGAGGGCTGAAGAATTGATGCTTTTGAACTGTGGTGTTGGAGAAGACTCTTGAGAGTCCCTTGGACTGCAAAGAGATCCAACCAGTCACTGCTAAAGGAAATCAGTCCTGAATATTCACTGGAAGGACTGATGCTAAAGTTGAAGCTCCAATACTTTGGCCATCTGATGGGAAGAACTGGCTCAATGGAAAAGACCCTGATGCTGGGAAAGATTGAAGGTAGGAAGAGAAGGGGACGACAGAGGATAAGATGGTTGGATGGCATCACCAAGTTGATGGACAGGAGTTTGAGCAAGCTCTGGGAGTTGGTGATGGACAGGGAATCCTGGCCTGCTGCAGTCCATGGGGTTGCAAAGAGTCGGACACGACCGAGTGACAACTGAACTGACACTTCATTCTTATCTCAAAACAACATCTTCCTTTAAGTCATAAATAAGTGAGTTTGAAGTCAGAGCAAACCAATACACAACACTGAGGGTAGTTTCACTGCTCCTGAAAGGGTGGCCCCTGTTGTACTTTTGACTGAACTTAGAAGGCAAGAAAACATTTCTTCAGTCCTTGCATTTCTTTTTCATTTAACATCAGTCCAGCATCTTCTCGTCTTTGTTGCTGACGATACAAAGGTTAACAAGACAGCAATCTAGGGCCCCTTCTACCTAGTAGGAGAAAGAGATGTGGGAGGAATGGTGCCTTAGGCTGAGGGGTGGTGTTTGCACATAGCACAGATGTGGGAATCTGGGTTGCTTTGGGAGGTGGGGAGAGGGAAAGAGGATGCCAGCTGACGGGAGTCGAGTTGTAGAGGATCTTACGTTTCCTTGTGTTACATCCCGCGTGGTGGACAGGGAAGGGCATGGGACAGTGGAAAGGTCCAAGCTTGGAAGTTGAATGGTTAGCGTAGCAGTGGGGAACGGTAGGAAGGATGGTTAGAAGTGGCAGGGTAGAAAGGGAAGTTTCTCAAGAGCATTTGAAATGCCAAAACAGTTATATAATCCTGAAATTCTCATTATTGACTGTTTTTGGCATAGAAAACAGTCCCTTACACTGTTTACCTCTTGCTGCTTTGTGTATTGAATGCTCTCTCTTCTCCCATTTTTTTCTTTCAGGGACAGTTCAAGCTTTTGAAATAGGAAAATCACCTCATGAGAGTGCACAAGCTGGCAGTAATCCTTTTCTCTGTATGTGTGTTTGTCCGAAGCGGACAGGAGGGCTCCGGCTGGCCCCTCCTGCTCAGCGAAGGAACGTCCCTGAGCTGCGTGCTCCCCTTTTGCACTCATTCCTGGAGGACAGATTCCTCTAGACACCCTCCAGCGTCGCTGACTTTATTAAACGGAATAAACGGAACACATGACTTTATAATAGGCAGACTTTTTTTTTAACGGGGTTCAGTGGGGGGGAGTTCACCTTTCGTCTTGCTGTGTGCTGTCCAGGTGCCACCCGGGCACTCTGTCCTGCTCGCCTCTGCTGTACGGAGGGCGTCGTGACGTGTACCATCCAGAGCTGTCGACTGAGAGTCAGCAGCGTTTGTGCAATGTCTGTGCATCCAGGAAAAGCGTTCTGTTGGAGAGACCCGCAATTGCTTATAAACGCTCTCTTCCAGATCTGCCATTAAATTATTGAGACATTTTGTTTATTTCACACCCCTTGTCCCCCAAGACCACCCTTTGGGAACGTGTGTTACTGATTCTGTAGTCTGCCTTACACCCTCCAGTCTTCCCTCCTGTGGGACTCTTTGCTTTTAGGCACTGCTGCACTTAGAATTGTAACCGGTGGGCCACACAGGTCTCACTGAGGCAGCTTAGAAGGTAGGATTGTAGGTTAAAACTGCACCAAACTGCAGTTTGATGAGGAGCGAGGTTATACTAGAGGTTCCAAGGGCAAGATTTGGAGCTGAGGGCGGTTTCTGACCCAGGTTCCCAGACGGGCAGGACCTGTTGTGTCTAACCTGTTGCTGTGGGTTCTTGCATTTCCCTCGTGGAGGAGGGGAAGCAGAAGTTGGCTGCTGCCAGGTGTTGACATGGTCAGTTCTGTGATCTCAAAACTGGGACATCTGGAGAAAAGGTGACTGTGATGGACAGCTTTCCTTGCGTGGTTCTGCCTGTCTGCAGTGGTGGAGAAACCTGTCAGTCCTCATCACCTGGTAAACGTGTTAGCTGGTGTGTGCTGATCCGGGGAGCCCAACACAAACTTTGTGGGCTGCTGCAGGCAGGCTCTAAAAATGGCCTGGCACATGCCAGAGAAGCTGGGTGATCTGACTCCAGCAGGTGCTCCCTAGGAGCACCTAGGGTTGGAATAAGTACCAAGGACCAGTCCTCGGCAACCTCCGAGGAGCGCCATCTTACTTGGCTCTTGTGAGCACAGATTGCAGTACCTTAAATTAAGGCCTCCCCTAAAACCTATCCTTGCAGGCCGGGGGGCTTGGCCACCTGGTGTCAGAGAAATCATAGAGTAACAGGCATTTCCTTCTGGTATTGATATTACTCTTGGTACTTTCCAACTCCTGAACACACTCTCATTACCACTGCCTTGGGGTGCTTATTCCCAAAAGAATATAGAGGCATATAGGGGCCAAAAGGGAGGTGCTTCCATTGCAGGTGAACCTAGATCAGAGGTCGAGCAGCGATTTAAACTCCAGGAGTATGAAGAGTAAACTCTAGTGCCCAGACAGCTGTGAAGGGCTCAGACAATACAGGAGCAGTGTTGGCCCAAGCAGGGAACAAAGCTTCCTCCTGAGCTTAGACCCCAGGGAGGTCTTCACTTTTGCCTAAGCTCAGATTTGCCATGAAAATTCCAAACGGAGCGGACGTTTGGATTTGCCCACTGGGCGTCTACCTGACTGTTAGCGTGTGCATGTGGGTGCATATGTGTGTAACATGTTCACAAGTGAAGGTTTTGTTGGGCCGAGTGCTTAATTGTCCGTATTTGTGTTTTGGGGGGTTTTTTTTTGGGGGGGTGGGGGTGTCTTGTTTTGATTTCTTAGTCTCTTGTGTTTTCTAGAGCTGCTTGTGTCATTCTGCCCCCCCCCCCCCCGCACTGCCTTCCTCTTTGTCTTTGCAGTATTTGAAAGTTATTTTTTCCCCATCAAAAATATGCTGGCTAGAGCAAGAGTTATTTCTACTAGGCAGCATCTTGCCCTAGAACTCTCCAGATCTTCTGCCTAACAGCTTTAAATCCAAGATCAAAGAGTCAGTTTCTCCAAACCACCTGTTTTCCACACTAGTTTGCAATGTCTTTTCAATTCCTAATGACTCCATGAACCCCCGTGACACTGAGACAGGACGCAGTTGCAGTTAAGGTGTCACCAGTTCCAGAGAAACAGGAAGCAAGGCGCACCCGGCGTGGGCCAGCTGCAGACGTGTGGGGCGGCTGCTGGAGGCGGGGCGCCCTTGTGCCCAGGCGGGCTGCTCCCAGGACCCCCAGAAGCCGGCCCCACGCCTCGCCTGCTCTTCTCCTCTGAGCCTCCCGTTCATGTGTATGTGTGCGTTTGCCCTGTGACATTGGCAGTGACAGTTTTCCACCCAGAGAGACGCTTGTGGTCCACGATGCTCCAAGAATGAATTTCCAAGTATTTGCCAGTGGAGGAGCAGAGGCTGAGACAAGAGTGATTTGTGTTGCGCTTTCAGAGCAGTTGTCTACTGCAGTAACAAATGGAAAATATCAGCAAGAACCTGGTTGAGGACTCTAATACAGCGGGAAATGAGACTAGTAGTGTTTCGCTTCCTGCTTCTGCCCTTCAGCACGTGAGTCTTTTAAGTACATTCCAGAACAAAGTATGTGGAAGAATGTAGACACTGCCAGTATCGTTTACATGAATGTAATGTCAGAAAACTGTTCCCTAATTGATATTAATCACTGCCAAAACAATTTACACTTTTAATACCAAAATAAGTTTAATTCTGAATTGGGAATGAGGAATGTTGGAATTCAAAGATTTAGATTTGGAAGTAAGAAATCACCCCAGGTCTTAGCCTGGAATGTTTTATTTAGCCCAATGGTGGACATGTGGGGCATTCCACTGACCCTTGCCCATGTGAAATACCAGGAGAGAATGAAACTTAATGCAGAGCCTTACTAAAGATTTAAAACAGTGTAGGTTTGAGACTGCATTTCAATAGAAATTTCCTTTCTATCAGTCACGGTCCAAGTGGAGACACAAACCAGGCAAGTTATTTTAACACTATGATCGAATTGTTGACTCAGTCACTGAAAAAACCTAAAGGACACAAAACCAAGGAGGCAGTGAGTCCATGGGGAGGCGCCTCGGAGTGGATGCCGCTCACCTGGTCCTGGTGTCTGAGGGTGGAATGAAGCTGGCCTGAGCTTGTTGAGCTTTGGGAACACACTGCTGCTGCTGAGATGAGGCCAGAACTCATCCCTTCTCCTCCAGCACTCAAGTGCACCCGGCTGGAGAAATCCAATGGTCTGCCAGCTGCCAAAGTAGAAATCTCTGCTCAAGGAGTTAAGGTTCCACAAGCTGCAAGGTGCTGCCAAAAGAAGGAGGAGAAGAAAAGAGGAAAAGACTCCCTTCTAATGAGGGAATGTGTGGAAAATAAAAAATAGTGACTGTTAGTGGAGAAGCCTGACAGAGACCCTCTTCGCCAAGTGACCCACGTTCACGGCACCACTGGGTCATGTTGACACCATGAGTGCTGATATGTGCCAAGGACACTTCATCTCTGACATCCTTCTCCCCAGATTCATAACCTGTCTACTCATGAGACAGCCTCAGACAAATCCACACTGAGAGACAGTCTACGAAATGCCAAAACACTTGACCAGTACTATTCCCAAATGTCAGCATCATGAAAGAAAATGAAAGATCCAGAAACTGTCAGATTGAGAGGAAGGAAACATGATGACTGATTAATGTGAAATCCTGGACAAGAAAAAAGGGCACCAAAGGGAAACGTGGGGAAATCTGAAGATAGCCTGACGTTTTTTAAAGAGTAATGGATCAGGGAGGGCTTCCCAGGTGGCATTAGTGGTAAAGAGCCCACCCGTCAATGCAGGAGAGGTAAGAGATGGAGTTCGATCCCTGGGTCAGGAAGATCCCGTGGAAGAGGGCATGGCAGTGCATTCCAGTATTCTTGTCTGGAGAATCCCATGGACGGAGGAGCCTGGTGGGCTATAGTCCATGGCATTGCAAACAGACAGGGCTGAAGCGACTTAGCACACTCACAGTGTATCAGGGAATTCCCTGGGGGTCCAGTGGTTAGAACTCTGTGCTTCCACTGCAGGAGGCACGGGTTCGATCCCTGGTAAGGGAAGTAAGATTCCACATGCCACATGCATACCCCCTGCAAAAAAAAAAAGCCATGTACTAATGCTCACTTCTTAGTTCTGATCTATGTACCATGGTTATATTAGATGCCAATATTAGAGGAAGCCAGGTGAAGGGTATACAGGAACTTTATGTTCTATTTCTGCAACTCTTACATAAATCTAAAGATATTTCAATATAAGAAGCCCAAGAAGTTTCTCAAAGGGCTATGCTTGATTTGAACGCCCAGATCTTGCTCTGTGGTGGCACCCAGGTTCCTGCTCCCCAGAGCAGGTTCCAGCAGCTCCATCAGTGCCAGCCTCAGGGAATGCCCACAGGCCTGTTACTCAGGGAAACTCTGCCTGTTTTCCACCCACCAGCCTCCACCTTCCCCACTGCCTGTCCTGAGTCAGCACCCAGCCCGCAATTGCTGTAGGTTTCCAGCCTGACAGTAAATCAACATGAGCCCCACTTGACACGAGGGAAACATTTCCATGAGCTCAGATTTTTAAAAATGCTTATAAAGCTGAACAGGGCCACCCCCCACCCTAACCACAGTGGGAGGGGAGGAAGAGTAAGGCCCAAAGGAGCAGAGGGTAAAGAAAGGGGCCCCAGAGAGCAGGTGTAGCTGCTGAAGGGCCAGCAGAAAGAGACAAGGTGGGAGCCCCAGGAGTGGAAGGCAGAGCCCTTCCCATCGAGGACCCTCACAGACCCCCCACCAGCCCTGCACGGGCTCTGGGTGGGCCACACAGTCAGGGGGCTGGAGGCCAAAGGAAGGGGGCACCCCACCGGCTGATGGGCCAATGGTAAGACTGTCTTCTCCCAAGTTAAGGCTTGGTAAGGCGGTCACAGGCAAACCATACCAGGGGAAAGGCAGGAAGAGGGCACCGTACCAAGATTGGACCTCTAGAACAACTATCAGTAAAATTTAAGTCCCAAATGAGTGCAGGCCCACCAAAATGACCACGGGCAACAGAAAGGATTGTTTAATTGATGATCAGAGGATAAAAGGAATAAGGGCCAATTGGTGTGAGTATTGTCAGAGGGAGATGGAATTGTCTCCCAGGCGTGGAAGGGTGGGCCCAGCAGCATGGGAGCA